GATTTTTAGCGTATTTTCCTCAATAACCTTCAATTTTAGAACCAAAATTAAATTAATAATTGAACGGAAATCTAAATCAAACCCAATGCCAATACATACGTCACAAAATTAATGTTTTTTACGACTTTTCAACTTAAATTAATTACCTTTAATCGACACACCAATTATCATAATGATAATGCTCCTAATTATAATGATCAATCAATTGTTGTCCTATTGATTTATCTTTATATCGTTATTGAAAGTAGCGCAGCTAAATTACTCATGAATTATGAGTTGTGAGTCAATATTGAACTTGACTTTTTTCCCAATTCCAAATTTTTGTTGTTTATTTAAAAGTGTGACATGCGTTTTCGTCCAGCTCCTAATTAATAACGAGTTGACGTAATTGCCGCGGCAGTTTTTGATGATTTCCAACTTCTGAGTTAATTAATCGACGTTGCAAAGCACGTGTAACATTTTGTTCACTTTTTCCATCTTCTGCCCGATTAAACTTTAAGCGTCCTTACCATTAGACGCGTATTTTTATTGCAAGTCATTACAAGCCTGAAAATAATTACTGTGTCATTGACTAAATAACGACGTGGGCATTTAATTCAATTAGGCGACATTTAAACTATGCGCTTGCGAACTTGTGCGGCAATTTAATGAAGAGGAATCTAATTTAATTGAAGAAAAAAAAAACTACTTCTACTAGTTTATATTTTTTTTTCTCTTGCAGTGTAATTTACTTCCTGTAACCTTGTTGAATTGAAAGTACGAGTAAATTTCTTCAAATTTTAATGTGTTGTCTTTAAAAGGTTAAAATTGCGAAATCGTACGAGAAACCGAGCTGAAATTGAAGATGTATTATTCATGTATGTAGGCATAAGGTCATTATGGACAATGCGAATTAAATTTTATGTGCATTCAAGCTGTAATTGGGCGGTTTTCTACTTTTAAGTACTTTTTAATGAATCTTTGCTTTTTGACGTCGTTTTAGGCGCGTGCCACACCAAAAAAGGGTAATAAAACTCTGAATATATTATATTTTTATCTAGGACATAGATATTTTTAATTTATGCGTGAGTTTTCGGTTGGACAGTATTTATTTGATAATAAACTCTGTCAAGTTATGTGTGTTTATGTTTAAAGCAAATATGAACAATGAATTCAGGTGTGTTTGGACTTGCAATCAACGGTGTTATGACGTTTATTCTTTATTGACTTTTCCTGACTTTCTTTTGAAGTTTCTTCTTGTTTTGTGTGTCGACGTTGCATTAATTCATGCATTTGCCAATATACATGACATTCGGGTCAAGAATAGTCAACATTCAACATTCAACAGTCAAATAGTCTTCTGTTACAAAGTTTCACTACTGAATTTAAATTTTATTTCATGTTTACATTTTTTTAGAATTTTTTGTTTAATTTTTTACCTAAAATATTAAAAAAAAGATTAATTTCTATAATAAAATCTTAAATACTTGCTTTTTTCACCTTGATACACTTTCTGAAAGCCTAATGACATTGCGTATGACAATGATACATTAACCATTTACCATGCGTCGTGACACAATGATTAATCCGAAGGAAATCTAATGAGAAATGAATGAAACCAATGAGACTTGCTCTTGGTCCCACATTGCTGCTGTATTTTTTTGTTATTATGTTTTTTTTTTGTTGAGCATTCATTGAGTTGGCGTTCATATTCGTTTGTATTCGCACGATTATAAATTCAGTGACATAAATTTTATTAGCAGCGACGTCGAGAGAGAAAGGATCTGAAATTAAAACGCTTAGAATAATTACACAATTTGTATACGTGCTACATTTCCAAATTTACTTTCATCATGTGTCAGATTCACTTTGAGCATGTGACATGTGAAACTAAAAGTAAACAAGATACAGAGAATTAAATTTTGCGTGTAATTAAAATTTTATTTGCGAATAACTCACAAACTAATTAATTTATTTTAATTATTCTTTCAGGAATGAATTAAGTATAAAATTCTTTATCTAAAAATGCGAAAATTTTATTGATAACAATTTAATTTCAGAAAATATCAAGTAATTTAGCACAATTTTGCAAAATTTTTAAAAGTAAACTTTAAATGTTTATAACTTTTTGTAGGATTAATCTATTTGCAAAATTTTGACACAGTTAAAAGCAAAATTTAATTCTGAATAATCTTTTGAAATAATTATAAGCCTAACACTAATAGTTTTTGAATAATTAATCAATAACTATTACAATCGATTTATTTTTGCGCCACTGTTCCACATAAATGCAGCGCGACAAAATTTGCAATTACACCCACCTAAATCAATAAAATGAATAAATGTTTAGTCACAAATGGTAACAACAGTTCAATATTTTCCTATGGTTTGCTTATAGCACGTGTTACATTAATTTAACAACTGTTTTAATGTCGCACCACATAAATTCCTAGCTGTGAGCGAACTGCGTGAGTTTATCAACAATTTCTTGCGAATAATTGAATAATTTATGCTTATCGCCGCGCGTATGAAATGTCGCATACATTAAATTTTAATGACAAATCGCTCGCAGACTTTCTGACTCACCATTAGCACACGCCCACGCCGTGCACCGTGGCTGCAAATTGCAGAAAAGATTAAACTATTACGCTGCATGCTTGATACGCTGGACTCTTGATAGGCTTGATACGAAAGTCATTTCATGGCGATTTAAGACACTAAACCATAAAACTAGAAGAAGCATTAAAACTGTACAGATACTTAGCATCACAGCTACAAAGATAATGCATCGATGGCGATGGTTTGCAAATGACGGCGAAACGACGCGATGAGCGATGCACCGCATTAGATTTAGACATTTTGGAACGTTGGCGATTATTTATGAGATGCAATAAGTGTGATGATTACTGGCTGACGGGCATTAGACTAGATATTATATTTCATGCGCTTTCGTTGTAAATTCATAATTTCACGCTTACCATTTTATATATTATACTCTGAGGAATTCAGCGTGGCAAATTTATAAATTCTTTAACATAAAAGCTTCGTTTAAGTTATATTTTGTAATTTCAGTGCGTAAAATAAGAGATTTTGAGCAATCCGAAAATAAAAACAGTGATTTTTATGCATTTTGACATTTATCTAACCTACAAATTCATTATTTGCCTATTAGTGCATAAAAATATAACGTTTTTAATTAAATAATATGTTATTCAAGTACAATCGTAAAAAACACAGTTTGTAAAGGTGAACGACATCAAAATTAATTTTATTTTTACGAATCAAGCTCCAAAGCTCAATCAGTCATTCCGAATAAATCGAAAAACAGTAAAACTGTAAAACAACAAAAACTCACAAATCGTGAAGTGTAAATTAATGGTTCGGTATCAACTGATTACAGTTACGTCAATACATCATTATTTCAAGTCCAAGCTGCACGAATCCTCGAGTTTACGTCGAAACGCAAGAAGTAACGTAACCGATGTTCAATACGCTCAAATGAAGCTAAAAATTAACACAACCCGCTTTATTGATAGATGCGTGGCGTACAGTTCATGATCAAACTTCGTGACTCGTCACGCTGAACACCTGGAAAGGTATGCGTCTAGTAGCTTTGGCGAAATCATTCGATTTCGTTGTTCAAGTTGGGATTTACCGTTGTGCGTTGTTTCAAAATTTTCTTGAGCATTAATTTTCATGCCACTACAAGAAACTCGTAAATATACGGGAAGTGTCAGTTCATTCAAACGTGACGGAATTATTACTCTCCAGCGGCAATAAAATTAGTTATTAATTAATTCTGTTGGAGTAATTTTTTAATTACTCATCAATATTTACATGAAAAACACGCGAGCGCATCTCGAGGAGTTTTTTTTAAGAAGTACGTACTTGAAGTAGCAGCAGCACATAAACGTTACTTCTGCTAATTAATAGCCGTCACATTAGCGAATTAACAAAACACGGTTTCGCCTTTACGGAGACAGATGCGGAAGCTGTTTGCGCCGCAAGATTGAAACACATTCAAAGCACATTCAACAACATTCGACCACTTTACCAGCCGCGGCTTTTAAGCTCTTCGGTGTCTCGATGTCTCGACGTCTCGGCATCACTTCAATAAGTCTTGCACTTTTCAGCCGCGCGTAAAAGTAAAATGAAAAGAAACAAAGAAAAGTGTGCAGCGAAGAAAATTGCTTTGATGTTAACATCATCGGTATTTAATTCAAAGAAGTATTTCATAAGAAGTTGCGCTAAAGGTTTCACACAAGGCTGCGTTGTACTTCTAGTTGGCTAAGGTTAGTTCCGCATTAATGCGTCGACAATTTTTTCAACGTTTTTTTACTCTAATATTAGCAATTTTCTTTGATTTTGATTGATAGCGATTTAATCGATTGCCTAAGAAAAACGCCACATTCTCACCGACCTTGGATATAAATATTGTTTTCTTGTTTTTATTGTGAATAAATTTATTTGCATGAAATGCAAAAATTTGCATCGTTTTATCCTTTCGAATTTCGCCAAACTTAGTCACTTATGTTAAATTTATTGGTTGAACCTTGAAAGACTTCCAATTCGATTAAATCACACGTGATTAATCAACAAATCCAAGTTGGAATCGTGAGATTGTTGAAGCCGATAGATAACGATAGATAAATATTCAATTAATGTTGAGTTAAGTCTGCACAGTAGCGGTGTTATTAATTATTATGCAATTAGCATTTCAAATTCCTCAAACGCCTTTGATATTAATTTTAACCGGAGTTTATCGGTCGATCTGATAATTATATGCCAACCACTTTAGTTGATTTCAAATTGTGATGAAAGAAATTTTGATGTGGGTGTGATTTACAGTTTTTATTAAGCAAAAATCATTTTTGCCTCTTGTAGACGTCATTTTACAACAAAAAATCACTTTAGAAATGCGGATTTATTTTAAATTTTATTTAAAATCATTTTTTAACATTCCTCTCGGTTAAGTAGTTTATCATGTTTAATTTTTTTGCATTTTTTTGTTTGTTTTGCAGCTGCTGTGCTGTTCCAGTCCATTTGTTTGCAAAGACACGACATTGTTACGGTGAATAGTGCGCCATCAAATCAATCATCCGATAATTAGAACAATTAGGTAAGTCATCTGACATTTACTTCCGGCTTGTGTGGCAGTCTAGCCAAGCGCCATTGCAACCGCCTCCGCGATGCTATAAATCCGATATTGCCGTGTTGAATGGCCGGGAATAGAAATTACGTCCGCGATATGTTTCACCTTCGCAGCGAACAAAACAGGGCAAGTCTTCTTTCTCTTTGTTGCAAAATATAGAACTGCTAATATACCAAATGTGACCATAACACTTCAATAAAATACAAATATACTAAATCTATTTGATTTATTGACGTGGAGTATTTTTATAGACTTGAACTTATAATTCAAAATCATAAAAAAAGATCGATATCCTGTCTGACTAGTGTCTAGTGTCTATCGTGTTAATACTTGAGGCTTTGATGGTGTTAAGTAGTTCTTGTTATTCCACTGTTTATGTTTATGTGGCCAGCTCGTGGAACAATATGATATGGTCGTTCTGCATGCTCGCATGATCGACATTATAAAATATCCGCCAGTTTTCATCCGTTTGACAGCTCGCAGGCTGGCCGGTTCATGTTTATTTCCAAGGTGAGGGCGTTTAACCTTTGCGCGATTTCAATAAAACCAAGGATAGGTGTGGGATACGCTTTTTCGCCCGCCTGTCGATACAGTTACATTCACTTTATTGCTTTTATTGTTATTGCAACGCCGAGCCGCAAATGAAATTCTAAACTTTGTCAATAAAAATACAAGGATATCGAATTGCACAGCATATGATGTTACAATTTGCTTTTTGATTAATTACTCAAAAACTAATGAAGATAGAATTATAATTCTTTTAACAATCGATTCTTGGTTAAATTGTGCATTAAATAAAATAAAGTGTTTGTTGATGCAATTGTTGCACAAATAGTTATTAACAATTTAAAAATGAATTTTGAAAAATAATACATAATTGTCACAAATATGTCAATATTTGCTGGTAGAATAGATATTTGAATCAAATTTTTGCTTAATTTGATGCAGAATTTATTTAAGAAGAGATTCCTGAAGAAATCATAACTCTATCTTGATTAGTTTTAGATTTATTCATGATTAACCAAAAAACAAAACAGTTTTTCATCAATTGAAAAATTAAATTTTTTATTTGTTTTCCGGAATAGTTTTTTCTTTTGTAATTTGTTTGACCATGATTACTACATTTAACATTTACGTTCTTGTTTATTCTCCAAAAATGGTAGCCATTAATAATTTTGTTCTTAACCTGTTACATAAACTGATTGCAAAATAAACAACATCGATTTTAGTTTAAACATTTTAAACGTTCAATTATAAGACAAAAAAGTTTCTGGTTAAACACTAAAAAAAGTAAATACGCATGCAATATATTTGATTTATTACCGATGAACTTATGTAAATTTAAAGTTCATTTTATCACTTATATTCTCTAATTTGTTTAAATACATCATGCGACTATAGTTCAAGGTTGTTTTTCAAATTAATCATGGATTTTACTTGTTTTTGCAACAAATAAAACAAATTCTTGCGGTTTATTAAATTGCATTAAATATAATGATGATTTGCATATTATTTTATTAGTTATTGTCGTTTTAGTTATTAATCAACATCAACAACTGCAAAATACAATATTTTACATATTAGGCAACCAAATAAACACTTTTTCTTAGTTTACCTGTGTAAAACATAATTAATGATTAGTTTTTCATGGAATAATCTCAGATGATCTGCATACATTAATACGAAGCGATTTTAGGAATGCGTCTAGTTGACTCCAGTCAACTTTTTCCTGTGATGTCTCCTGATAAACGCAGCTGCGTCTACGACTAGCTGAATGTTGATAATAGTTCATGCGTAAAGCATCGTATTACGCGCCAATGGATATTTATATATTTATATTGCATGAGCCCAGCGTGTGGGACTTGGGAATTTAGCGTTCCTGGAGACGGCGACGTCGACAATCAACCATGCGTTTAAATTATGCTCGTGCGAAGTCTTCGCCGCAGAAATTCAATCACAAATTGCGAGGAAGCTAATTAGGCGCGTTTCAATTAAATCATAATGCAAATTTGTACGTGGACGTCGATAATAATGGATAATTCAGTCGCCAATTTAATTGGTTCATTTGTATAATGAATAAACTACGCAGTTTTTACGTAAATCATTTTATTCCTAAATTATGACATCAAAAAATTTATTTTACACTAAAACCTTTGTTTAATCTATGATAAATCTTGTTTAACATAGTGGAAACATCGTTCATGTCAATATGTATTAAACATTAATCGAAGCAAATGAAAATTCTTGCTGCCTCTTCACGCGGACGCAATTAAACTGCACTCAACACAATTTCCGCGATGCATACTCAATTTATAACGTTATCACCGCCTTTATATTTATAACATTATCATAATACACATACCGTCATTCTTGGATCTCATAAGAGTATATAAATCACCTTCACCGATCCGTGCATTAGACGTTATTGTGCAGCTAAGAAAATGCGGAATCGAAAACGCAATCTCATTGACTTGAAAATGAATCGAAAGTAAAAGTCGCGTGAAAAGAGTCTTTCCGTTTGCGCCACATTCGCGCCGGGCATTACGCTTTAATCGTTTGTTTATCGGCCCGATGCTCGTGGCAATTATCGCGTTCGAGCGTGCCTTAATTGCACAAAGAAATGTGAAATTCGGAATCAATTCACTACTTACCTACAGCGCATTGAACAATCGCTGTTATCTGGGTGTTCAAATGTTGGTTTTACTATTGTAAAACGCGGATATGTTGTGTAACCATTGATTGACTGATAATTTGATAATTTACAAGTTTTGTAATGGACGATATTTGAAATAAGTGCAAACAATACGCGGATATTATAACTTTCTAGGTGTATTTTGTGAAATAAGTGCAAAAAATTTATTTTTAGACACGAAAAAATAAATTTTTCGATGAGTTACATAAGAAAACAATAAATTTTAATAGAAAATTGTCATATTTGAACAAATAAATTGTTGCCAGTGTTTAAAAATATCATTTTATGCACGCAAATAACAAAAAAAATACATTTTTATTGATTTTTAAAACAATTTTCAACAAAAAACAATGAATTATACTCAAATAGAGAGTTTAAAAGTTATATTTTACCCAAACCGATTATTTTCTACGCGTGTGCGACTTATTACAAGTTACACCTGCGCGTGCTCACCAAACCGCACAGTTTTAACGAAATTTAATCCATTCACCATTACAGCGCCGCCGCGCAGGAATTTAATAAGACCTCAAAACGGAAACGCACGTACACGAATTTAAAGCTAGTGTTTTCATGCCTCTCATTAAATTATTATCCAATTCTATTCTACGAGTATTTGGAACCACGCTGTTTCCGAACAGTTATTATTCTAAATCATAATAATCGAGATTAAACCGTAAAAATCGACAATTTATCAAGATATAAATTCGTTTTATATTATTTTTTCGTGCTTTTTATACGTTTTAATAAATAAACTAATATTTAGTTTAGCGATTGTGGGAGAAACTTTCTGCGACTTGTGCGGTTCAAGATGTTAAAAGATGCGCGAAAGTAAAACTGAACGCTCAACTTTCTTTCGAATCAATAACGATATTTACTATTTACCTTCGTCGTGTCGTGCCATCATACTGCGATTATTAAGCGCACAATCTCTTCAAATAGTTTACTTTTTTAAATTCCGACATAAATTGTTCAAATGGCTTTGTTTTCTATTTTTTTATGGAGACATAAACTAAAGTTGATGATTTTAGTTGCAAAAACCATTTGAAATGAAGTAGTTGTACTTAATTTAAAGTCATAATTCTCAAAAGCAATGGTAGAAGTTGTTATAAATAATATTCTCTTCTTTTAACAGTTTTACACTCATAAACATCTTTTTATTTTGCGAATTTAAATTTAAGTAATAACTCTTACGGTATTTACGTGATTCAACCAGCAAAGAATTACACTTTACCCTCGACCGTATGCAAATCTCTCACAATTACGGTCCCGACCATGACGTTTCAGCATTACGCGAATTATTCACACGTTTTCAACGTCCATTTCGACGTCGCAACTGCGCGACCGTGCATTGTTGCACGTTAAATTTGTTTCACGGTTTCTTCAACACCTCAGCAGGTTGCAGCTTAATAATAGATTAGATTTTTGATAGCGTCTTACACTGCATCCAGAAACGAATATATATTTTTTCGTTTTAATAAGAACTTCTGCAGAGAGGATGAAAACATGAAAGGTGAACAGTACGTTTGCTAGATGCACATCTATGCCCTTTGTAAACTCGGCGGTAAAACTCGAAAACGATGAGAAAAGAAGATTCACTCACTCAGAGCAGACCTAAAGAACTGCTTATTATGCAGGAAGGAGTGCGTTTTTAAAAGTGTTTTTGTAGAGTCAAACAGGCACGGCAAACTTCTTGCCCCGAAAGGTTTGTGTGTTGAATTTAAGCCTTTCTGGAGGAGTTTAAGAGGTGAGGTTAAGCGTCGCCTTAAGTCCGTATGCATTACTCATTCACGTCAGGCTTGTATGAATGCACAGCACACTTTTGTTAGTTTTGTGCACTTTGATGTGAAGATCATGAGGGCACAAAAAGTTAAGTGTTTTCTTTGGTTTGTCAACTACTTTCTGGCTTTTAACACGTTTTTTTATTTAAAAAAACATAAAAATAATATTTATATTTTATTTTCAACATAAAACTAATAATTTTTATGTTGCATAAGTTATATTTTATAGAATAACAATAAAAATTGAATAATTCATTAAATCATACCTTTATTTCGTAGCTACCGCCCGCCAGATGGCACTGAATAGCGCAATAAACATAATTTTATTATTAAAATGTGTTAACTGTTTCCATTCGAAAGATTTCTCCTCATTATTTCTCTTATCGGAACTACTAACTGTCCAAACATAATTATATCACATTGGATTTTATCATCAACAGCAGCAGCACAAAAAATTATAGCAATTATTCAAAGAACTGTCTCGGTTTTCTTCAAAT